CGCGTCCTTCAGCTCTCTTTTTTAGCGTGCCGAATAAATAAAAGTCAGAGGGGGCAATATCAGGTGAAAAATTGGGTTTGGAACAACTTTCTGACATTGTTTTCCACCAAGTAATTCATTACCTTGTGACTTTTGTGAACTCTTGAATTATCAAAATGAATTGCAAACTTTTGTTTTTGTTGTTTGGATTTCTCAAACTCATTCAGAATTGATAATTTGAGTAAAGAACATTGTCAATTAGTACTGAGCATTCATCGTATTAGGTTTTTTGAAGAATATCAATTGCGATGATGCCATTCACCGCCCCAAAAAACCGACAACATCATCATTGGTGTGTCAATTTTTTTCTTCGGGAATGTTTGCGGATTTCTCCTTCGGGATCCACATGATTTTGGCTTCTGTTGCATATTGAAACCAAGACTCGTCCCTGTTGCTAAAAAAGCGAAACTTCTTGGATGATACGCACCCAATATAGAGAGGAGCTCTTTCGAAGATTGGACTCTAGATTTTTTTTGAACTGAATTAAGTTGTGCGGAACCCAACGTGTATACGCTAGTTTGTAGTTCAAATAATTGTGCAGATAATAACTGACTGTTGTACGTGGTATCTTTGTCATCTCCTCTATCCTTCTGAGTGATGCTCTTGGGTCTTCATCTAGCGCTTGAAGAATTGCTTTGATTTTTCTTTGATCGGCGATTTTTTGTCAATTTTTATGATGGGCGCCTTTTTGTTCATGAAGTGATACATCCAACTGATACGTTTACAGTGGAATAGTAGGAGCATCCATACCGAAGCATTTTACCAATGTCTCGTAGATTTTTTTACAGTCTTTGCATTTTTTGCAAGAGCGAGGATGTTTTCTTTATGATTCATTAAAAAAATTGAAAAAATCCCGCCAAAATTTCCGCGAAACGCCTCTTGTCTCAAAATTCATTTTATATCCCGGCATGGCGCCAAAATACACATAATCATCATCATATACATATATTCATATTTTTTATTATATATTTATAATCAGCATATATCTCCTTTAATAGTTCTATATGAGCGCTGTGCTAAACGCACCTTTGGACACCCTATAGTTGTCTTTCTTTCTAAATAGTGCCCAAATACTTTTAACATTAATAGGCGTATAAGCTGCTGTAAATGTTGCACTTGAACTATCTGTATTCTTTGAGAATGAACCGTCCATAGGAATCCAATCCATAACTTTAACAGGAAAACATAAAGCCTCGTTTGTATAATGTTCTACAAGTTCTGTATAAATGTTAGGGTCTAAAGAGAATGACTTTGGATGAATGAAACATTCATTAAAATCCATCTTTGTTCGAAATAGTTGCTGGGTTACAGTTGTAATAGTAACTGTTCCACTAGCTTCTACTGCCTTCGTTATCATAGTGAATGGTTCATTCCATGGAACAAATTTATTTGTCGGTGGATTTGAATCTGAAGCAAATGCAACTTTAAGAGTTGGATTGAAAGCAATGATATCATTTACAGATATAGATGTGCATTGTAAGGCGTCGCTACTGAACTTTACTTTAAGCTGAATGTTTCCTGCAAAAGCTGGAATAAATCGAATAGCTTCTAATGGAAGGAATCTTCTAACAGGAATTCTTAAACGAAGCTTAAAATCAAATGATTTTCCTGCTGTAATTGGACCACTAACAATTTGTCCTGTTCTGCATGTTCCCGAATGACTCCATACATCTTCATGTCGAGTCTTTGAGAAAACATCTACTTTCTTTATTTGTTCGGTAGTTTGTGAGTTTGAAGTTATATATGCTTCTTCTCTTGCGTTGTCTTGAGAATATACGATACGACCATTTGCAAGGATTTGATATCCAGCAACTGCATAGAAAGCGTCATCGAAACCAATCCAAAATCCTGGTGGGTTTGTTTTATTGGAACCTGAACCAATTTCTTTATCTACAATAAATTGACCTTCCATTTTATACGTAATGAATGTATTGTAAAGGTCCAACATATTTTCACCAGGAGGTGAGAGATTGAATGTTACCCATGTGTTATCTTTAGCAGTTCCAGGTTGTGATGGAATCTTTGCGTCAGAATATTTTCTATTAGTGTCACCAATTTGAACTGCATTGTCTATGATATCGAAATATGAGCGAATCTGATGAATATGCTCTGCTGGAGTAAATTCGTTTAGCTGTTCGTTCTGCATGTATTTACTTCAGATAAAAATATCTATTTACTTCATTATTCTCACTCTTCTTCTTGGCATTCGTGTGGAAGTTGTTTCTTGACATTTTCAATGAACTGTACATTCTCTTTTGTCTCAAACTTCTTTCACTGGTGGGTCAGGGTTCTTTGACTCGGTTTGTTTTTCAATGAAATTCACGAACTTTGCAATAAGCTCTTGGTTCGTTATTGAAAGTACATCTGGCTTCTTTTCTTCTGGTTCTATTGGTGGCTCAGTTTGAACAGAAGGTTTTTATGGGCTTCGTGGACTTCACCCTTGCCATGCACCTTAATGTTGTCGCTTTCTGCATTCGCTAATGGAACCTTTCTTTTTCTTACGTATATTTTACCATCTTTACTCTGACTTACGTAATAGAAAGGATGTTGTATTCCTCTTGCGTCATTTAATATAATAGACTCTCGCTCTGATTTTGACAAGCTCATTTTACATCGGTTAAAGTTTTAATTTTGTTTTTATCTGCAGTCAAATGACTCAGACAAGCCCTACGGACAAGACCCAAGGGGTCATAGATGTTGAAGCATTGAAGAAAGAAATTCGTGAGCAAATTTTATCCGAACTGAAGGAACAAAAACAAGAACAAAAGCCAGAGAGACCAAAGAGAAAACTTAGTGAAAAACAACTTGCTGCATTAGCTGCTGGAAACAAAAGAACCCAGACTGCTGGCGAAAAAGCTAGAGAAGAAGCTGAAGCAAAAGCTAAAGAAGCTGAAGCAAAGAAAGAGTAAATGGTTTATTTTTATCCGAATTAAATGTATAGACAAATACCTTTATCTGTTGCGTTCAGTAGTGAAAACCCTGACGTCAAAATAAAGGGGAACAGAGTAACGTTTAAGTTTCCAACAGACTGGATTGTGAACATAAATGAAGAGAAGTACATTGGCATAACATCTATGTATATAACACGTGCTTTCAGAAAGGTTGACTTTATACTTCAAGTCGAGATAGAAAATGACGAACAGTCTTTAAGCGCCCAAAACATTCACATATACAAATACTTTAAAGACGATACAACGTTAGAAGACTGTATAATTCATTTAATGAAATGTTCGAGAAAAAGTTTAACATTGAAGTACAAACTTTACAGCCTTTACGTGAGTTTCTTGCACAACTGAAAGAAGAAGGTAGTCAGCCACAACTTATAGACTTTCATTATGAATTTAATGAAAATGAAGATGGAACACATGACTGTCAATTCATTGTATTCTCACCATTCAATGAAGTCGCTAAAAAGAAAGAAAATCCATTACGTATAAGATTTCAAATCTCTGAACCAAGTGATGATTTCAAGAATGTTTTCAATTATGATGCAATGCTTCCGAGGAAAAATGATTTTCCGAAATTAGATTTCCAGGCATTTGGGATAGAAAGCAAGCTATATTATATTCAAACTTAAGTAAGGGAGTTGAAAATGAGTTCATTGGTCATACAAGAACTTCACCACTTCCTAACCCTAAATACTATAAATTAACTGGCTTCAATCGTGAGTTTTGGATAGACATGTTCTCCACTCATGACCATAAAGCACCAGTGTTCTTACCTCCAGACCATAAGGACTGTCTCTACATTGAAGCACAACTCTTAAACTCTACCATCGCAGTATTGTAAATGACCACATGGGCTTCGCCCTTGCCGCTAGCGGCTTATTTTTATCACGAATGACCTCACTGCTGACAAAAATAAATGACCTCAGAACTTCAACTTACGAATAAAGCTTGTTTTAGTCGTTATTGAGAAGTTAAACTTCTCTTCAAAGCAAGGTTGACATGACTTACATAAGTCAAATCCAATCTCTTGACCGTCATAAAGTGCTTTGTAAAGTTTCATTAAACTGAACTCAGAGTCTTTGTCATATGTTCCTTGCGGAACCATTAAACCTTTATCTTCATCATAGAAACACTGAACAGAGTCAGGAAACATTTCATTAGCGGTTAAAGCAATAACATCTTGCTTCACGCCTTTCATTCTGCAGTGAAATGCAACTTCATTTAAATCATTCGTGAGTAAGTCTATGTAAGTCTTCTTTCCACAAAATATTGACTTGTATGCTAAACTTTGTTTTCCAGGTGTGATTTCTGCAAAGTCGCTATGAAATTGACCAAGGTTTTTACCAATGAGAACTCTTCCATAACGTTTCTCATACTCTTCAGCTAAACGAGGGATATCTTCATTGTAGAGATGCATACTGTCCGTATCGCTATAAAAGATGTCCATTCCTAAGTCCTCAGCAGTACAGAATACTTCACACATTATTCTCTTCGACATAGACAGAATGTTAACACCAAGTGGACAGAAGTTAAAGTGTCTGCAAATGCTTTTCGTTAGCTTGAAAATAGTTTTATCTGAACCATCCAAACCTTCGAACTTCACTATATGGTTGTAGTTTCTGATGGCATATCTTATAGCATCTTTGTCATTTACTATGGTTATTTTTGACTCAATAGGAGATAGAATAGTTTTGCCATAAATACTGTTCAGAATGAGCTTTATATTTTCTTGCAAAGGATTTCCTTCTTTCTTATACTTTAACCTTAACTCAAACAACTTCTTTACTTCATCTCTTATTCTAATATCTCTGTTTCCATCGTAATAGTATCCTTGCAACACTTCACATTTGACACCTTGATATTTTATGAGGTCTTGTAATGTTATATGGTCAACATACATTAAACAGCAAGTGTTTGAACTTCTGGGAACGTTAAGTTCTGGATTTAGTTCAGGGTCACAAACTATTAAAGGAAAGTGTCTATGTATTCCAATCTCTGTTATCTTAATGAGAACAAAGAAGCCAGACATAAACTTTTCACCAATGGGTTCCTTTTGGTCGTCATCGAATAAATGTCTCATGAGATACTCTGTGCTTAACATTTCTTTCTTCATAACCTTTGGAATACCTTCTAAAGTATAAAGTCTTGCTATAGCTGATGGATATAATGAAACAGCGTCGAAGTCAGCAATGAGTTTCTTTTCGCTCTTTTGTTTCATGTTATCTGACAGCATACATCTTCCACCTTGAATACAGCGTGAAATAAATTCTCTTGGTTTATTTGAGAGGTCATATAAATTTCCATTCGGGAAGTACACTCTGTTCTCAAATAATTTGTTAGCAATTGAACAAATACTAACGTAGTCATAAACGTTTAAATCAAATTCTTTCAATATGTCATTGCGGAACTTAACAAAACCTTCTCTTAAAATTCTTACATCTTGTTTGCAATAAAATGTGCTATACTTTTCTAAGTCGAAGTGGTTCTCATCTATTCTGCAACCTTTGATGGAATCTATGTTTTTCATGAATGTATCTGCATCCCGGATAAACTTACATGCTTCAGAAATGACACCAGTTCTGTTGTCATTTGCTAACAAAACACTGCTGTAGTAGTTGTATGGAAATACTTCTTTCGGTCCTGTTTGTAAGTTAAACATAGCAGGAAATAGTTTAAGCTTCTTATTTATAACACTGTAAGAGTCTTTTATAATAATTGCCCTTCCTTTATATAAGCCAGTTATTTGCATTGTTCGTGAACCTTTAATGATGGGAGTTCCTTTCACTTCTGTCATGTGTCTTAAGATGAAGTTTATATCATAACTGAGGTTATGGAAATATATTAAACTCTTGTCAGGAAGTCGTTCCAAAAATTCTGTTGCACAGTTCTGACCCCAAATGCTTTCACTCACTGAACCATCTTCACTGTCGTAACATATGTTAAAAGCTTTATGAAAGCCATCGGTACTGCACTCAAAGTCAGCAAAGAAAACGTGCTCAGGAATGAACTTGCACTTATTTTTATTTACTTCTTTTGACTTCGGCTTTCTTTTCAGTTGTACACAATACTTTGGAGCAATATGACAAGTCTTTAAATGGTGCAAGGTTCTGTTTTTATAAGTCAGTCGTATATGTGAAAAGTTCTCCATAAGAAATAGGTTCGAAATATTTGCACTCCACAATGTTTTCATAACATCCCATAACGGTGTTGTTCTATCATAACGAACTACATATTTATCTTCTCTCTTTGTATAAATCTTCATTTGTTTCTCAATGTTCATTCCACCACAAGCTTTGAGAATTTCTTTATAATTTCTGACGAAATATGTTGTCATTGGTAATCTTTCGTTTAGCATGTAGTGGTCTTCAACAAGAAGTAAGTCAATAGTTAACAGTTTCACATTCTTTTGGTATGTATCTCTTTATTTCATTATGTCTTGAGTCATTGAAGTAACCAATGGTAACATTAAATGCTATACCTGTTGCGTCAGAAATTTCTTGTACTTTACTTTGAGGAAAGTCTCTAACACGAATGACTTCTCTCATGTGGTCAATAGTCTCTCCATCTACTCCAGCCTGAATGCAAGCATAAACGAAACAATTGTCTTCTGTCATAAGTGCTGCAGTTCTTTTGTTCAATTCATTGAAGATTTGGTAGCGCTCAAGATTTATATGTAATGTGCAAAGATACTTCCAGAACTGACCGCTTCTCTTCTTATAAAACTTCTTTTCACCATTATCTTTCCAAAAGCTTTCTATAAGTGTGGGTTTCCTGTTTGCTTAAGAGCTTCCAAAATGGCTTTCTGGTCATTTGTCAGTGTGCTTTCATCTCTATATGGTCTCTTTTTTGGTTTGCCTTTCTTTACATCTGACATCGTTAAGCCTTCATATTCTGTTAAATCATACATCTTTATTTCGGTAAGATTCTTTATGTTTGTCAAGAAGAAGTCATAGTGCATTTCAACAATACCTGCAGCATTTGCTTCTATCTCTGATATAAAGTTCTCCTTCAAGAGCTGATGTAGTAATGTTCCAATATTATTGAGGTTTAACGTAGAACATTCATACTTTCCACCAAGTTTATAACATACCATCCATCTCTGTTGTGAGTTTATTTTAATTTTCTCTAAGAGTCTCATGAAAACCTTACCGAAATGTTTGTGTAAGTAGTCTCTGTTTGGTTCATCTAAAGCTTCGATGTTAAAGTCAATGAGTCTATTGCCTGACTTCACATTTCTCTTCCTATTCTCTTCATCTTTCTTTAACCATCTCTCACCTTCTTTTGGTTTGTCGTCAATGGAACGAATGACATCGTTAGCTTTGCGAACTTGTTCTATAGCGCTCTTAAACATCTCTCTTCTCTGTTGTTTCAGTGTGTCGTCTCTTCTTCTTGTTTCACCAACGTTTGCATTTGTTATGTCAAACATTTCACGCCTTACTTCATGAGGTACTGAACGTCTATGATATAAGTCAATAGCAACGTCATTTAAAGGAAATGCTCTTGCATGGACTTCGTCCTCGCCGCGTTGCGGCTTTATGAACTCATGAATTCTATCATAACTTATTGCACCATTATAGTCTTTAATGAAGTCAGCGAGTGCTTTTTTGTTTATTGCGTAATGTTTTGCTACTTCTATGTTAGCTTCTGTAAGAAGTTGTTTTATTTCCGAGTGTTCTAACTTAGACAACTTCCGATACATCTTTAGTAGGAAATAAAAAAAATATTTTTTGAAAAAATTAGATTAGATTTTTTTAAGTTATTTTTCAAAATAATTTAATATTTTTATTTTAATGAAACACATGCAAGATTGGAAGTTCTTTTCATACAATGCTCTCGCTACTGCCATCAAGAATGAGTTCAATAATGCTTCAAATGTTAATGTTATCTTTAACAAGAAGTTTGTGAAAGAATCTAAGTTTGGTCAGTATGTCAGACCATTAGCTATCGTCATTGACCGCAAACGTTATACTTCACAAGAGTTAGCAGTAGTTTTGAAACAAAAGAGTTTCTTCGTGAATGTCAAAGATACTCATTATACTGTTATAAAGAACTCTAATATTGACTTCTTCAGTATTGCTATGAATCTTTCCGAACAGAAAGAATATAAGAAGGGTGAAACAAATGTGAAATATTATCCTTCATCTCTGAAGACAATAACGAACAAAGATGTTATACAGAAATTCTTACCAAAGGTTGAAGAAGCTTCTATTGACATTGACGAAGGAAGTGAAATGGTTGAAGAAATAGACCTGAAGCTATTTAAGCAAAATATATTTTTGGTTAGTCTTCATATCGATATTTTACAACAATTCCCCAATGTATAAACTTTTCATACGCTTTTTCATAAGCTTTATATACCTTCAGAAATTTTGCATAATCTTTAGAAGCATTTAGATATTGTTTAAATGCTTTGTATGTCTTCAGAAATTTTGCATAATCTTTTACATGTTGTTCGTTCTCTTCTTCTGTCATGAGTTCCGAATATTCTAAATTCATGTTCTTTCATATGAGATAAAATTTTATAAAAAAAATAAAATTAGCTTAGATTTTTTTATTCTTCCTCTTTGAAGTTATCGAAATATTCTGTTATTTTTTTCCTTCAGTAATGTTAAGTCTTCTTTGAATGTAAGTATTGTGCAACCTTTGATGTCATAGTGTGTTTGAGGAAGAGTATTTTTGACAATTTCCTTTATTTGCTCATTCGGTGTCATTGAAATCGGTAAGTTTTCACGATAGAACCAGTTTCTGTCAGATTTATATATTTTAGCTAAGTCATAAAAGCTCTTGTTGTTTCTTCTGACTAAATGCAACATAACCATATCTTTATCTTCTTCTTTCTCCAACTCTTCAGTATATATCATATACCTATAACTCTTTTCCTTTCCTTTTGGTACTGAACGCGGTATTCTTTTCTGTATGCTTTTGTCTTTGGATTCAATGACTTCATCTTTTGCATGAAGTTTCTTTTCCATCTCTCCACGTTCTGCTTTATATAGTTCATCTAACATCATGAAAATATAACAAGCATAACGAGGTGAAGCCCACATTGCTACAGCGTTTACTAAAAGTCTATGAACATAATAACCTTTCAAACCAGGAGCCAAATTCTTGCGATTTTCATACGGAATCTCTTCTCTCGGTTTTCCGAGGGAAGCAATCATATGAGGAAATTCTTCTAAAAGTTCTTTTGTCTGTTGGTTTTCAAACCAATGATATGCTTGCTTTGTAGAACGAAGAGCGTTCATTATACTTTGCATTTGGTACATATCGTCTTTGACCGAACGAATGAGACGTAACTGTTTGTTATACTGTATGTACTCGTATTCTTCATTTATGGCTTCATGAACGATAGCAGTTGTTGTGTTCTCTAATGTTGTCATTACTGTCTTTACATACAAAATAAAAAATAAATAAAAATAAAACTAACTTTATTTTCTGACTTTCACAAAAGACCAAAAATAAACGCTTTACATGTATTTTTCAGCAACTTCGTCAAATAATTTTATAGCTTTATCTATCTCATCTACTTCAAACGTTTCTTTACCTTTCGTGGGAGCACCATACATTTTCTCAAAAACTTCAAGCAGTTCTGTTTCAGCAGCTCTCATATCATTAACAAACACAACCTTGACTCTATTGACTGTACTGTCATATCTTTGAGTTATATTATATGTCCTTCCTATCTTATATCTTTTTGTGTTGAAGTCCTTCGGTTTCTGAACGATATAAAGTAAGCCTTCACTGCAACGTTCTGAGTCGAATGAACCATATGTTATGAAGTTATATCCAACAACTGGGTCTAACCATAACAAAACTATTGGTATAAGACTTTTGTCTATAAGATATGCTCTTGTTCCATGCAATGCTACTGATATCATAAGCTCAGGATTTCTTGTCAAAATTTTCTGAGTTGAAGCATTTCTAACCCAGTCGTTTGTTTTCTTTCCAGATGGAGATATAATGTCTGACAAAGAATATTTGTTGTATTTCTTTGAGTATCTTACGTTTAAATCACCTATTCTAACCACTTTGGTGTCATTGTCTATCTTTCTAACTGTTTCAAACTCAATGTTTGTCATTACTGTCTTTACATACAAAATAACTAATGAAATTCATTATTTTTGTGCTGAATTCAATAAAAATAATGTTGAGGTGAAGAGGTGAGATCTCACCTGTTTTTTCACCTGTTTTTTCACCTCTTTTTTCACAAGCGTTTTACATGGATTGTACGATGTATATTTGAAATCCTAAACAATTTCGTAGCTTCTATTTCTTCTTTTAGTACATCGAATGTTTTAACGATACCGAAAGTTTCTTTATACTTCTTCTTGACATCAGACAGAAGGAAATCTTCTGCTGTTGGATAGTTTTTATTAAGAAATGTCAACATATCCATTTTATCTTCTGCTGGCTTTTCTGCTTCTTTCTTTAAGTCTGCATAGTCGTTTCGCATTCTTTCTATCTCTTTGACTGAGTAGTTATATTTTCTTATTGCTGCTTTACATTTTGAACATTGCGGCATCGTTTTTGCGTTATACATTGAAATAAAACCAGCTAGAACAACTAAGGCGTCAATGGTTTTCTTTAACTCAAAAGCTGCTGGTTTTATCTGTTCATTCCATACCTTACCTCTTCTATCTTTATCTCTTATCTGCCATACACATTTTGCAACTAATGAAACAAAGTTATCGTATGTCTTAAATTCTTCGGATTTGTAAAGGTCAGAAATATTTTTATAAATCATGTCGCAATCTTTGTCCATAACTTTATGGTTGCAATGAAAACCAAGGAATT